AAGGTCATGAACTCCTGTCTATCCGGTTTTGAAAATCCATGGTTCTGCAGGTGGGTTGTCTTCATTCTTCTCTCACTCTGGGTCAGACTCTGGCTCCATCATGTAAGGCTGGATGGACAAGTCTTCCTTGACATCTTTTATTCAATTTATAAATAAAACATGTCTGTCACTAGATAATCCTAATCCTACTAACAAACTACAAAAATGCCCAAACAAGGTGTCATGGACAATGATCACTGGGAGTGAGACCTGGACAGGGACAGGATGTCTTGGTTGCATTTAAAGAGACAGCACCAAAAGGAATTGCTCTCAGACGCACCTCAGCACAGGGGTGAGACAGGGGTTTATGGAGCTACAATAATGAGGTATTCAAACCAAAGCATTGGAGTTTAACTTTTTATGGACCCCAACTGAATGATTTAAATGAAAAAAGGAAGGATTTAAAAGCAGTGTATGTCTCCTTTAAAGATTTTCACATCCCCCAATACAAATGAGCATTCTGTTTTCATAAACTCAGTGACAAAAAGTCTCTTCCATCCTATTTGATCACTATAATGATTTATAATCTAATCATAACGTTAACACCGACTATATTTGCAAATAAATCACAACTTTACTTTCTCGAGATAACACATTTAGTGATTTATGTTTCTTTTTATCCCCGCTGCCGCTGCTGGAACAAAGTTCTGCTCTGTTGTTGTGCTGGGTATTATTTCAGCCATAAAAGGTAATGTTACCTTACATCTCAGTGTTCCAGCCCCTTGGTTTCTCCTCTTCACGCATCCCTCCGTGTGGCCCTTAACCTTATCCATCAACGTGTCTCAACAGCTTTAAAGTGAGAGACAAATAAAGCCGAGCATTGTTTTTGTAGTTTGAAGAACAAACCTCCCCGTGGCACTGCTTTTGTCACCGGTGAGCTGAAATTAATTCCGAGGCCGCGGAGCCCCGTATCTACACCTTGCTTTGACATTTCTGGGAAGTTCTTTGTGAGGGATCAGAGGAACCACTCCACGTTTGCCCTGGGTTATTTATCCGACTAAAGGTCGGCATTTTAAAGAGTCTTACGGTGGGACAATAGAAGAGAAAGCGGTAAGAAAAGGGAGATTATAAAATCTTAAACAAATTAGGAGTTTGCAAACGATTAAAGAAAATCAGGTTTTGGGGGAGTTTAGACAAGGGCAGATTAGCGTCCGAGCCCACCTGGAGATGAATTCTTCTTTGCATCTTTAGACAGCTCAAGGCTAATACTTGTTGAGTGTTTGTGGCGTTTGTTCTGCCAACTAGCAGAGCACATGGAAGAATGAAAGGAGAGCACCCCGGTTGTCAGTGACCTTTGACGCCTCTCAGGCTGTGGGAAGTTGGTTTGCGATTGCCAGAAAGGAAACCAATTACTCTTTTATCAAAATTTGATTGAGCTCAAACTTGTCAGCGCCAGCCCCCCCGGCCCCTCGCTCTTCTGTGCATTGAGTTATTAACGTCACTGAAAAGTTGCCGTTACACAAGTCCTGCTGCTTCGTCTTGGCTCGGAAGCTGTTTGATGAGCGCTGATGAGCATTGGATTACAGGATCCCTGCAGAGACGTCAAAGCTCCTTTCACCTCCGGCCCGAGCAGAGCCCAGCATCAGTAGCTGGGGTTACTTCATGTCACTGGTTTGCTTTAAGAGCTCCAGAGGGGCTTCACTCAAGTCGGGGTCTCTGTTGACCTACAGCATACCGCACAATCTTATGATGTATGCCCCACTTGTTTCTTAACAAACTTAAAGAAAAGTGCACTCTGTAAAGATCTGAATTCACACAAAAAATGGTGCTTAGGAAAAAATCTTGAAGGTGAAGATGTGATTTATAGTTCTTCCCTGCAAATAAAACCACAATTAAAACTAACAGCTGTTTAGTCGTATTTATGTTAGCTAAGATCAGTTCGCTGTGGTGGCCATCTTGAATTGAGTGGACTCCATAAATTAAAAAAGGTGTAGATGTTCACCTATTTGTCACGTCTTGAGAGTTTTGTTCAAAATTGTCCAGTGGTTCATGAGATATTTTGCTAACAGACAAACAAGGTTGACTGAAATAGTTAATGTTCAAATTTTCAGCAAAGATCTTGCGTAATGAATAAAACTGAAAGTAAGTGTCACAAATGACTCTTGGCTACAATCACACCAAGTTTGAGCAAATTAGCTATAAAACTGACTGAATTACAGCCATTTTTGTCTTTTTTAAGTTCAGTTGGCTGTGGAAGCCATCTTAAACTGAGTTAGCTCCAAAATTAAATCAGCTGTAGATGCTTGTTCAGTAAAAACTTCCTGAAAGTTTCAATAAAATCTGTCAAGTGGTTTGTGAGATATTTTGCTAAGAGACAAACAAGCAAGTTAGTTTTTCTTTTTGCTGGTTGCTGCATGACCTGATCACCTCTTTCCCCATGTTTTTGTCATGTGTGTGTCTTCTTGAATGGGTGTTCTTAAATGTAATTTCATTGTGCTCTGGTGACATTAAAGGCATCCTCGTCATCATCAATGTTCACTTTAATAGCTCATGCTAAAATTTTAGGCCAAGATCTTTGAAAACATGTCACAAATGTCTCTCAGCTACATCCTCACCAAGTTTGAGCTAATTAGCTATAAAACTGACTGAATGACAGCCATTTTTTGTTTGCTTTAAGTTCAGTTGGTGTGGAAGCCATCTTAAACTGAGATGGCTCTAAATTTTAAATCAGCTGTAGGTGCTTATACGATGAATATTTCCTGAAAGTTCAATGAAAATCAGTCGTGTGGTTCATGAGATATTTTGCTAACAGACAGAGTTGACACCGTTTTGGTAGAACGGTTGCTTTTTAGCAAGAAGGTTGTAGGTTTGCATGTTCTCTCCGTGCATGAATGGGTTTTCTCCAGGTCTGGTTTCCTCCCACAGATCAAAAACATGCATGTGAGGCAAACTGGTAACTAAATTGTCCCCAGGTGTGAGTGAGAGAGTGAGTGGTTGTTTGTCTCTATGTGACTTACAACCTGTTCAGTCGGATGGATGGTTCACACACACACACACACACACACACACACACACACACACACACACACACANCACACACACACACACACACACACACACACACACACACACACACACACACACACACACACACACACACACACACACAAAGGCAAAGACTCAATTGTCTATCGTTGTCTAGGAGATAAAAGTCATTTCAGTCAGATGCCAGAGGGGAAAATTTCTGTTACATTTTAGATGTTTTTTTATTCTATAAAATGTTAAAACATGGCAATGTTGACCTCATTGGTTCTAAGTTCTAAGCAGCATCAGACCGCCATCTACATGTCAAATAATAAATTGCAATATCTTCATGAGTTCTCTTGACCCAATCAACATAAAAAGTTTTACTTCTAACAATTCAGACATCAGGAAAGTAAAGTAAGTCTCTGTGCACAGGTTGTTAAAATGCTCCTCACTCTCTGGGTCTTTTAGAAAAGAGTTGCGATGAGAGCGGAGAGCCCCCGCGGTGAGTTCTTCATCTGCCTTTAGAACAACACAAACAGTGGACATACAAACAGACACTGAAGGCCCTCTGTTAGGGTCTGAAGCGGGGTCCGCACCCCCTGCTGCGTCTCTCTGTCCACACACTTTGTCCTCCCATTCATTCGGCTCATTTGGATTCCGACGTGTGAGACCTCCTATGAGCAGGGTGAGCCGTTACGCTCCACCGTTTGACTGCTAATTAATGAAAACAACTGTACACGTGAAAATATGCAGCGTGGAAATAAATGAGCCGGTTTATGATTACAAGCAGTGGCACAAGCCAGAGGTTAAACAATGACTAGATGCAGTAAACAGATCAAACAGTCAGAACAACATGCAAACCGGCTGAAAACTGGGGTCTTTAAGGTTATCGGAAAGACGTTTTATGAGTTCATAAACAGACTAATAAGGTATCCTAACTTCTGATACCATAACCAGAAATTATCATTCACCATTCAACAATTTGATAAAAAAATATCTGCAAACGCAAACCACAAAAAGACATGTGAACGTGTATACTGAAGGAAACATTGGTATGTTTGTGGCTGAGAGTCATCCCCTGCACATACTCTGATTACTACATTGGGCAACATGGTGGCCTAAATTTTGCCATTAATTGCTGGAGTTTACTCCATGTCTTTTAGCCAAATACCACATAAACCGAACTGATTTTAGTGAAACCCTTGGGAAAGTAATCACTGAATGTACTGACTCAGCTTAATTCAGCTAATTGGCCTTAGAAAGCACAACAAAATAGCTAAAACTCAATTGTGCACATCAAAACTTGAACACTTTGGCATAAAAAGGCAGAAGGCCGTAAGCATTCTTCCAAAACATGCTGGGCCCTTAATTTGAATTATATGTCAATTGAATACCATTTTTAAAAAAGTCAATGTTTGGCTATTTGGACACTAGTCTTGTAAATACTATAAAATA